AAAATTTACAGTACCTATATTACAAGTCTACTTAGTTTATAATATAGATTATAGATTTAGAGTTGTTTAAAAGATCACTTAAGACCTTATTAATATATGCCTGAAAGATTCCAGGTATATTTATTAGACTGAAGGGTATTACATATCATATATGTATAATGTAATCTATCACTGAGCTGGCCAGTTGGCTGCGCCCACCGCTGAAAAGTACTGTACACTGGCTTTGAAGCCTTTCTCCCCACAAAATTGATACATATTATCTATAAAAACAATAGACTATTTCTCAGGGCATTTAAGCTGATTATAGCCTGTTATACCACATGTGCTGCAGGTTGGTGGCCTATGCAGCCTGGAAATTGACTGGCCACCGGCGTGCTTCCATCATGCCCATCTAAAATCCAATTTCATCCATATTGTAGATAGCTTGCTGAAGGATTCCATATTTTTCAATAGCATCATGGAAGTGCTTATACCGGGTACCCCATAATAAGCTCTGGATCTTCACATTTGGCACGCTGGTAGTCATATTTTCGGCTGTATTTAGAGGAGAGTTCATCATGGCATTGAATATACCAAGCCACCCAACACGCCCACATAGGCAGTCTGGGAGGATAGCTGTGCAGACAGTAACAACTGTGCCAAAGAGCATACAGTAGAGATTTGTAGAGGTAGGCCATGCTGGCCCATATCAATAATCCATTATGAGAATGTCTTTTCTTCAGTAGGTGTCAATTTTCAGTGATATGGCAACTGATTCCTTGCTGCATGTGGTTCCTTTAACCTGGTCTTAAAAGGGTAGAGAGAGGCACATCATATGCCTTTGCTGCTGCATTTTTTTGATGAAAAAGGGCCTTTTTTAAAGGCTTCTAGAGCTAGTTTCATGTGATCTTCTTTTGAATTATCAGCCATGGTTGTGGTTGTGGATAAATTGCAAATATGAATAGTAGGTGGTCATGGATGTGGCTAGCTGGCCAGCTTGGTGATAGATTACATTATATACATTTGCTACTCTCCATGCTGATTGTTGCTGTGGGTGCTGCTGACTGCCTGCGGGCCATTCTGCTGCTGTACCCCAACAAAAATATTCAGCCATCATTGTGTTACAGACCTAGCCACATCAGTCTCACGTGACTATGCGGGGAGTCAAGGCAGAATCATTGGGTGACAGCAAAAGGCAAAGCGCAGGAAAGGCAGGGATCAAGCTGATAACCAACAGACCTGTCACGTGATCACCTACTCCTGATATACCCCAGAAGGAGTAGCTGAAGGAGTATACACCCAGGACATAACCTGATTGGATCGACTCAGGATATACTCCTTAAGGAGTAGATGGGGGAGTATACCGGACAGGATATATAAGGACACTCATTCATGTACTTAGTTTAGTTCTTCGCGATTGTCTTCGTCAATAAAGCATTGGTTACCTTTCTAGTTCAGACTTGTCAGCACTAAAACCAACAACTAAGTATATGTACTTAGTTGGCCTTGTTTCTCTACTTCGTCAACCTTCTATCAGATTACTTGTTTACAGAGCCTGGCTGGGGCGATATACCAAGCAGCGCATTCTTTACGGAGCCTTACTGGGGCGAGATACCACGCGGCGCATTACGACTTAGACCTGAAGGGTCATTATCGACATAACGACGACGAAGGACACTCAGGTGAGTGCCCCAACTGAGACTTAACTAACTAGAACCTTAGGTTATGATATGAAGAGAAGCTAGGTTGTGACACATTGAGCCTTTTTAGCCACTTTCTTGCCTATTCTCTTGCTCTTTTTTCATGATATTTTGATATTTTATAGAGCTCTGCTTTCTTTATCAAATGATGTAATTTTTATAGTGAATGATAGGGTGTGGGGTCTTGCAGCTATATCTCTCTCTGGGCGCCCCTCTATATTTTTGAGCTTAGGCGGCTATATGCCTAAGCTTGGAGCATTGGGGACTATCACTATGACTTTTAACCATCTTTAGGCTTATCTCATTATTATCTTGTCAACGGCAAACTCTACTACTTTCTTTGGCATGAAGTGAAGCCATGGTGCGGCCCTACTTCTTGTAATAGTATATTTATAATATTTATGATAGATTTAAAATAAAGTTGTTTATTATCTTCATATATATAAATACAGTAATAAATATAAATATTATTCCTTATAATCCCTGTGCCTAATTAATATCAATGAAGCTAACCAGCAAAGTTCTATGAGGGCCATTTGTGACATTAAAGATAAGGGTAAGTGTCTTTATTAATCTCAGATATTTCATTATTTAATGGCATTTCAACGCTTTCATCTAAGCTTAGAGTTTTTAAGGCCATCATTATCAGATGAGCTGGCAGCTGGTTTTCATCAATATGATGATAAAATAGCTTTGAGTTGGATTTAACTGTCTGTCACGGAGCTCAGCCAGGATAATGGAACATCAACTCATGTGCTCTACCTAGGTAGCTGTCAATGAGAATAATCAACATGAGGAAAGAAGAAGAATGATGTGCCATCAGTATTGACAAGACATATCCCTTGCTTCCAGCATGTGAGAGGTATACATGTGACCAGACCGTCACACTGTCCATTTATATGATTTTGATTCCCAGGTAATAGCAATAAGTTCTCAGGTCTAATATCTTGGATTCCTTTTCTAATTAGTGTTTTAGTGTGTCAATTTAAATATTATTTAATCTATTGATGAGGTCATTATTATATAGAATCACAATAAGTATGTCTCTCTTCTCTCCTTTAATAAATACACCTGGGTCTTTAATAATGTTGAGCAGGGTGTGTTGCTTTAAGAATTTAGTGATTTAATTATATTAGTCTTAGGGATTGTTTAAGGCTGTATAGTGCTTTTTCAAAATGACATACACTGTAAATTATTGTCAAAGCCAGTGAGTTAGATCACATAGACAACCTTGTTGACCTGTATATAGAGAAGCTGTTTTTACATAAAATCTATTTAGTTAATTTTCTAGTTATTTATGCTGCTAATGCAAAGAGGGTCAGTCTTATAGTATATGTATGGGTTTAACTGCAGTGAATATTTTCTTATGATTAACTATATATTTCTACAGAGCCTCTTACTATTTATTAGGTTTTATATCTTATTGACTGAATAAATCACATCCAGCAATACTAGATTAAAGAAAACTCTTGTCATAACTCAATTCTAGTGTAATCCTTCCAATAGGAGCTAGTATCTATCAATTCCAAAGCCAGGTGGCATCTTTGACTGCTTCCAAGCCCTTCTTGAACACGCTTGCGTACTACTCTTTTCATGTAGTACATTAGGTAGAGATGGATCAAGTATTACAAATATATAATACTCAGCTCCTGCTATTGCTTGATACCCTAATTCAGGCAGATATTCCCCTAAATTGATCTTCATCATGAGGGTAGTTCTCTCAGTAGCAGATACACCTGCATGCTCCAACAGTAAATAAAATATATTTCCCTGTAACACTCAAGGTCTGCTATAAATATCTAAATTGTTAGTAGCATTCACAATTTCACTCTTAATCTAAGATACTAGAAATACTATAAAAGCAGAAGATTCTAGTAACGTGGTCGGTAAGCGAGCGACGCATGTAAGCGAGCGACGCACCATCCAACCGAATCTCACCCAACCATCTTAATCATTTTTTTATTGCCTACCATGCCACCAAATCGCTCTCAATCCTCCCAAAAATCAATCGAGCAGGAGGGTAGGGTCTTGTTAGCTATTGAAGCTATTCAAAAATATCAAATTACTTCTGTGCGCGAAGCAGCGCGCCGATTTAGCGTGCCCGAGGCTACGCTCCGCCGCCGTCTAGCTGGCCATACCAATCGCCATGATATGCGCGCAAACAACCATAAATTGACTGAAACTGAGGAGTATACGCTTCTTCAATGGATTTTGTCAAT